GCTTCTGCTGAAAGCAGGTTTATAAACTGAGGCTAATACCAAGAATCAGTAAATTAGAAATAACTGATATACGAATGTTTAAAACTAACATATTAACTACATATTTTGTGCGTTGATACTAACATAGACTTTCTAAAAGTCTCGCTGTACGACCTCATGCATTGAAGCTCGCTTCGCTCACTTTCTGTAAGAACTTATGAGGGGTCGACTTGTAGTAAGTCTAATACTAATAACCCTTGTTGTTTGAAATCTACAGCACAGCTAGAATTTCATTCCGTCTCGGCTGGCCTACTGATGATATTAGGAGTAACAAGTCAAAGATATTTAGCAATATGCGACAATGGCCACCTTTGCGGAAGTGTAAGTAAAGCAATATTGTTTAAATTCAACTGATTATTCTACCAATATCGTAAAATGCCGAAAATAAGCCCCTCCATGTATAAGCCCCTCTGAATATAAGCCCCCCAACCGGTAACGCAAAAAACCCTCCGTTAAATCGCCCCTCCAAATATAAGCCCCCCGGGGGCTTGTACTTGGAAAATTGCCCTCAAATACAGACACCGGACACCTACAGTTGGTCTCTTCATTTCTTTACTCCCTTTATTTGACTCTCTATAAGACAGACACCTCTGTAAAATGGACACCTAGAGTTGGTCCCTGCCTTTCTTTACTGCCTTTATTTGACTCTCTATAAGACGGACACCTCTGTAAAACGGACACCTAGAGTTGGTCCCTGCCTTTCTTTACTCCCTTTATTTGACTCTCTATAAGACAGACATCTCTGTAAAAAGACACCTAGAGTTGGTCCCTGCCTTTCTTTACTGCCTTTATTTGACTCTCTATAAGACAGACACCTCTGTAAAACGGACATCTAGAGTTGGTTCCTGCCTTTATTTGACACTCTATAAGACAGACACCTCTGTAAAAGGGGCACCTAGAGTTGGTTCCTGCCCTTCTTTACTGCCTTTATTTGACTCTATACGAGGGATATCTCTCCAAGATGGACACTAAGTACAGGTCCAATAGGTATCCGTCTTAAAGAGACTAGACTGTATTTACGAATCAGTCGCCGCCATTACCAACAGAAGACGTTTTTAACGCCGGGTGATATAAACACTATGTTAAAATAAATTTCATTTTGATTCCATTTGTGAACTGGTAATTATAGGATCCTTGAGTGCATAACAAAATAAATAATCTTCCGGAGAGTGTCAGAAAGTACGAATGCCGGAACTCTACCAACTGTTACTAGTGTTAGCTATCCACCTCATCTTAAACGGGGCGGTGACGTCATGGCTGCCTGGTTCATTTTGTAAATGGTGCCAATCACGCATCCTTAATTGCTGTGATACTTGAGAAATTTCTTGTGAATGCCGCAATTACAGTTTTGCGTCAATCAAATATGTCTTCCAAGCACTATATCCATATCAACAACAAAAATTATATCAAACGTTTCAAACAACAAACTAAACTTTCATGAAAACTGTTAGGCTAACAAGTCTTCTTGAACCAAGATGTGGTTCAATCTTCTTCAAGTTTTTTTTCCGTCCCACTGTTTGAATTTTCACAGATTTCTTGACAGAACTCATGGAAATAATTCCTTACTTTCTTTATCTTTCTAGGAAGATCCATCGTCCAACACTATCTTCCACGAAATTCATGAACAGAACATGTTTCACTCTTATGTATCCCACAAACACAAGAATTGGTTGGTTGGAATCAAGAGGAATGGAAAGGCAAAAAAGGCAACCCTTACAAGACCAGGTCAAAAGTCGGTCCAATTTTTGATTACGTACACTTAAGCCCCGTTAATGTGGAAGGATGGTAATTCTCCTAGATTGCTATTTTTTTCTCGGTGCTATGTTTCCCCGTTTCGTTTGCCGTGATTATCTCGGGTACGGTTACCTTTTGTGTTTGATAGGAAAATCCTTTTAAAAGGATCAAATTTTAGCCTGTTGTTATTCCTCTAAGAGGGACAAGTTTGGTGGTTATTTCTTCGCGAAGATATAAATAAAAAGTGCAGTCGTTCAAATTTGCGAAAGCGCCTTGTGTCTTGATGATCCTCAAGAGATACTTTCCAGAATTTGTGCCAAAAGTATCATCGGTAAAAATGGCTTCGCGTTCGGACAAGCCGCGGGGAGCGGACTATGTATTTTAGAAACCTCGCTTGGCTTATGTTGACCTTTCTAGCGGTGTTACCTTCCTTCCACAAGATATTTAAAAATATTGATCAGTATAAAAGAACTTATTGACTAAGAGCCAATCAGAAATCGAACCAAGGACGTGCAACCTATGCCAAGCGCGCGAAAACATCGATGCAACTCTGTCATTGGCTGATTACTGAGCGTTGGAAAATGCAGGAAAGCCATTTTAATGGTTGTGCGTTTGATTGGTTTCCGCTTTGCTCCAAATTGATCCTGACTGCATGTGATTGGACGAATACAAATCAACGTGAAACAGCTATAAAAAGTTAAGGAGTTCCGGGAGGCTAAAATGACCCTAATGAATACGTATATTTTGACGTAAACTTGGGTAAAGACTTCAGTAACTTTATTCAGTGTACCAGTTCTCCTGTTATCATAGATTCATCGTTGTCATGATTTTTTTTTTATTTCAATGGTGGCAGTGATTTAGTATGGTACATTGTGTCAAAAATTCAGAGGGTAGCGTAGCTTTCTATTGGGTGTCCTAACACGTAAATTTAACTTAATAAACTGAAAAGCTAATTTCTACAAAAGCTAACAGACGCAATAAAAAGAAAAGCGAGCGAAAACGCTGGAAAACGAGTCGACGAAATTAAGGCTCGTTTCAAACGTCGTACCTCTGCCAAGCCGAATTTAATTGATCGAATTAAATGCGACCGTCGAATTTACTTCGAGGGAAGTCGCACTAAGTTTGAAACCAAATCGTGCTACTCACTATGCAGCACAGTAAAGCGTGGTGCTACTGCTCAGCCGAACGAACTCAGTTCGTATTTTTTTAAATAAAGTAGAACACATTTAAAAGTTGGCTAAACTGGTTCTATATACATGACGTTTTTGTTTTTAGCAACAGCTGTTTATCGTAACTCGCCCAAAGTGAATTCGACGTCTAAAACAAAGTTGTGCCAGAGCCGTACTACATTCAAGCCAGCTTAGCACGCTGGCAGAAGAACGGCGTTTGAAACGGTGTGTTTCCTGATTGGTCAGGCCGAAAATGACTCGAAGTTTTTTGTACCTACAATCAATCGTAGCAGTGCAAAGCAAATGTCAGTGAAACCATTTTTGGACACTTAGTTGAAACCTTTCATGTTGGTGTCCTTTGTATAATTCCATGCACTCCATTATTTCAAGGAGTATTTATTGGCACGGGTTCGTCCCCTGTTTAGGCTCTTCTTGGCTCTTTGAACCTTTCATAAAATAATTTATGAAATTATTTAATGATTCTTCATTTTTCTCTGGTTTTGTCCCACTTTCTATTACACTACCTCCATAAATTGACCGCGAAGGCCTTATGTGCCGTGAATTTCATAGGGTATCGTCGAGCAATGGGCACAAACCGACCACCAAGTAACTTATATTACATCTTAGCCTTTATGGGCTTTTTGACAATTGAGTTTCTCTCAAAAGAAAGAAAATTTGAGGTATTTTGAAATATTAATTTATTTTTGTCGATGTTATGATATCGGAACCAATTACTATGGAGAAAATCGACTTCATACAAATAACGAAAACAGTTAAAGAAATATGTAAATTCTGTCGAAGTTAGTATCGTTTTATACATAATATATAATGCTGGTAAGATAGGCGGTTTTGAACATACGATCTTGGTTAACCCACCATCACGTTTGCAATGCACGTTATCCGCAAAATAGGTGCGTTTCTCAAAATTCCCGAAAGAATATTTTAAGAGCACAAAGTTCAATATCAGAGATGTGGTTTTTAATAAATTTCTAATGGAAAAATTTGAAAACTTCACAAGGTCGAAAAGTATGTTGGCCTTCTTTATACATAGACTCTTAGGGATAGTTGAAACATGAGAAAAAACACTTCCCGAGCCCGAAAACTCTTGGGAGTTTTGAGAAAAGCGAGCAAGTATCATGTTGTTTGTACGTTTGTTGCGTTTAGTTTGCGTTTCTGTCGCGTTATACGCGGATTATCTCACGATATCTCACGCCACAAACCGCCTATGTAACAAGCTCCAATGTGATTTATCTTGATTTACAGATAAACAAATAAATATTTTTGTTTTAAAAACTCCCTCCGGGGAGGGTAATAAAACGCAATGATGAACATGATTTACATAAATAAATAAAGTCAATTTGTTTCCAGCCACTTTGTTAGAATGCAAAGCGCGTTAGGGTCCCTTCGTAGTGTTAACATAACGGTAGCGAATATCGCACGCAATTGTTATTTGTCTCGTCACGCAACGCTCCTCAGGAGCCGGCATTTTTTTGCGTAGGAGCGTTGCGTGACGAGATAAATAACCAACAGAAGGTATTTAAGAAAGTAAAACTTATTTAAGGCTTGGATAATTTGGGGTGAAAGGCTATAAGCCCCAAATATTGTCATGTTTTCATAAGATATAATATTATTTAAAAAGGATTTCTTTATTTTGAATGATAGGGATTTCCGTAATGTACATTTCGTTCAAATGTCTATGAAGATGTAAATAGCAAAAAATATGGATATGTTGGAAAAAAGAAATCTGTTAATGTATTTTTAATGCATATTTGCAATAAAAGAAGAATTAAAAAAAAGTTGTTGGTTCATTAGCAATTTGCATCGCCGTGTTGCACGGAATTCCTCAATTCAAAAACACTAGATCCCGTAAAAATCTAAACTACAGCCAAAACGTAGCATGCAAGAGCACACGCCTTTTTCGGCTGTTGTTTCACCCGCCGATAAAAGACGGGTAAAACAAGAGGCGTAGCCCGCGTAGCAGGCGATTGGAAGTAGTGTGCACAAGAAAAAACGTGCGTGCGAGGGAGACACGCGTGTCTCCCTCGCGCACGCCCGTTCTTTCTTTCGCCCACTACTTCCAAGCGCCTGCTATGCAGGCTACAAGAGGCGGAAAAGGCGTCTGTTCTAGCTTGCTAGCTAACAAAGGGATCCTCAAATGTTTGTTCATTTTTTATACATTACGATCTTTTCTTTACATTTTTTTGAAAATAAAGTATAGTCTGGGGGGATGGTAACTTTTACAAGAGAAATATTGCCATGGAGATTTGTTTTGAGATGTGTCCCACAGACACGAAAATTGCGTGGGGCGTGTGAAGGGGAATTATAACACGCGAGTAAATAAGTCACGTTCTCTCGCGTGCCTTTTTCCCTCTTTTCCTTCCTTATAAGAGGAAAAAATTGTCCTCCTGCCTGAGTCAAAGGTCAAGAGCTGATAACGGCGCTCGCTCATGCTCTGATTAGGGACGTAAAGATCCACGGACGCGACGGCAACGAGAACGTCTAAAAAACAATAGGTTTAATTAAGCAAAACAACTTTGCACGTGCATCACGCTTTTTTGTACATTTCTTTCCCACTATTGCACGACTACGACGTGAAAATGCCTAATTTCGCGTTTCAAGGAGGACGTAAACAAGCAACGACGAAATTTTATTTCTCTTTCTGAACTTGGATATGGTCCCTTGAAATTCAGCTTCAGGAGGCTTCGCCTACATTTGACAACGTAAGTGGGTAGGAATAATCGCTATAAAGATTGAAAGAACGCAAATTCACTTTTTAAGAGACATTCTCGTTACCATCGCGTCGTTGGATCTAAAAGTCCCAAATTGTCTTGCCTTGACCGAGTTGACCCGGCTGGGCGAGTTAAAGAGTTTATATGGAGAAAAATTGGCTTAGCTAGGAGGGTTACCCCATTATAGAAGGGTGACTCGCCTCGCCGGGTCACCCCTTTCTAGCCGAGCCATCATTTTGTTGCTCATGTTCGCAATCTGGGACAAACTTTTTTTCCATACTAACGGGGCTCAACAGACTTCATAGCCTTCTCAGTAGCTCAGAGCATTAAAAAAGAAAAAGAAAAAGAAACCAATTTTTCATTTAGGTTCTTTCTAAGCCCTGTTGTAAGGAAGGCTAGAGTTCTGTTTGCCATTTTGGAAATATAGTGGACCTGCTTGTTCAAGAGATCTTGAATTAATGTGACACCACGACAGCTCGCTGAATCATTTGAGGATAGGGTTTTTCCTGCAAAACATAGTCATGGTACACCCATAGTGTGCTATATTTACACACTTCCAAAGAGAATTCTATTTTCCATGTGTCCCATACAGATAGCCCAGGGGCGCTTGCTACTTCGGCAAAATTTCCGGTTGGCAATTCCAGAATCATTCCGGGGTCAAATGGAAAGGCTTTCCAGCCATTGCAGTCTCACTGTATTGTTCGCGTGAACCAATAATCCAACAAATGGATGTTGTAGCACTACCGGTACTTTTCGACAATTTCGACGAAGCAATTTAAACTTTGTGGTAGTAATAGCAGTTTGTTGCTGTTTCGTTTGAAGAAATTTGGACAGAGTTCAAAACTATTTTGAGTCTACAGATGCAGTTGCAATTTTGAACGATAAGATAAGAAATGAAAAGAAAAACTGCGACTGCCTGTGAACAACGTTCACCGGCAAACATTGGAAATGGCGGGGAAAATTTTAGGTGCCTGCCGCGGGCCAAATTAGAATTGAGAAAATGGAACGGGAATTTCTGTTCCAACCGGTTGGAAGGGAAAAAGTGGAATACCTCGGAAGGTCGTCCGTTTGTTCCGGAAAATTTCCGCTCAAACCAGAAATTTTGCCTGAATGGAAAGCGCCCCAGGTCTTGCTGAAGGGCTTTGCAATCACTATCAGAATGAATAGAAGGATAAACGATTGTGTCGTCGCGCAAATAACCTGACCAGGGATTTTTTAGATCGTTAATGTAGAAGAGAAAAACGCATAGCCCAGGTATCGAGCCTTGTGGAACACCGGAGAACTACTCCGTTCAGGACAACCCTCATAGATCTTCCACACAGGTGAAGGAAAAAAGTTTTTTTTCATTATCCAATAATAGGGTCACAAAGCAAAACGGCCAGGAAATGGACGTTTTAAAACACATGTGATTTCTGCCAAACTAAGTACAAATCATTGGGAAAAGTTCAATGCCACGTTTCCTTAAGTGAAACATACTGAGCCAGTAAACCAAAATTTTGTAAGTTTTGATCACTTTCAAGTACAACAAAAATATCAAGGGGAAATTTTTTGCACGGACACCTGCAAAATGGTTCTCATAAGATTTCTTTGGGATATTTTTATTAGACAGGGAAAGAGGGGCCCTTATTAATTTTGAGAGGGCTGCATAGTTCATGAAGGTAGCAGATGTTTCCCCTTGCTCCTAGCCACTAGGGATGTTTCGCGGGAGAGATGTCCGCACCTCACTGCTAGAAATGCCATACTGATAGCATATAATCTGTCCAGAATCTGGTTAGGAGCTCTGATTGGTCAATGTAGTAATATATTTCTTCTGCTATTGTTTACAAATGACACACAAAAGGTCAAAGAGGTCAAATGTAAATGCTATGAATCTAACGCAAACAGTCAATAATTGTCTATACCGTGAAACAATCCAATTGGCCAGAATCCAGAAGAGACAGCTGTGTTCAGACAGCTGTGTTCGCAGGCTAAAAACGGTCCTATCTGCAGTCTGGAGCAGGAAGAGTTTCCATCTGTATAAGTAACCTTTCATGTTTCTCTCACTAATGGACAAGGGCCAAGGCAAGTTACTTTTCAACTAAAAAATGAACTTAGACAAGAAAGAAACTGCCATGGAAAAGCAAAATTTGAGAGCTGTAACATTCGTGTTTGCTTCAAACTCTGGGGTAAGATGCTTATCTGTTAGGGGGTGATGCTTATTCAAGAAACTATTATTGTAATAATTACAATAATAGTTTCTTGAATACCAAAGTATCACCCCCTAACAAATAACCACCTTATTTACAAACTGGATAAAAATGACATACTATTATATTAGATAGGCCTAATCATCCTCATCATCATCATCATCATCACTGTCACTGTCCTTCACATTTGCTTGCCGTAATGAACTTGTCATGACATCATGGATTTTGTTTCTCCTTCGAGGATCTTCTTCTAAGTCTGTTTTCACTGCCCCTGCTTCGGACAACATCCACTCTAATTCTGCAATCACAAATTACACATTTTGAAAAAATAACATTACAGGAAAAAATAAGAGTATATTATTCTTTACGAATAGTCAGAAGTGTTCATGTAGTAATTGAAGAGGAGAACTAGGATTTCGACTGGTTGGAAGGTGATTATAATATATGCAATAAAACACTTTTGTCTAATTTAGCATAAAAAATTCCAAAACTCAGAGTAAACATTAAGAAACGAAACAAATATTTTGTCTGAATAACTCAGACTTATCAGCGTTGTGAGGTGACAGGTTGTATAACAGAAAAGTTACCAATCACCAAGGGAGAATTGTAAATTGGTGGTAGGTCCAGGCCCTCATCCCTATTAAGGGAGATGTATGAAGATGAGTTTGGAGAATTTGTATGTTAATATTGGGGCTAAAAGAATTAAACAATGTAGCGCTGCTAGTAAATGTACATGTACCGGAAAAAAAACACAAACTCAGAGGTCAGTGTTGGTTCCGGGTGTGGGGAAGGGGTCCAGATTGTTGGTTCTCTGAACTACTTTATACTCCATCTGAGGACAGTGACTGAACAATATACCACCAATTTACAATCCTCTCTTGGGGATTCATAACTTCTCTTTTACGTAACCTATCACCTCACAAAGCTGATGAAGTTTGAGAGGTTCGTCTTCATATGAAGTAGGGGTAGTTAATGGAGAGGGCATGCTCCTGGATTTTCTCTATGCCATTATCCAAGATGATTGGGGAGATTAGCAAAAGCAGCGGCTGCATATTCAAGTACAGGTCTGACAAGTGAACAGTACACAATAACAAAATCATCCGAATGCACTCCACTTTTCTAAGATTTCTTAGGGTGTAGAGTCTTCTGTTCGCTTTCTTAATAACATAATGGCAGTGAACGGCCCATGATAGATCTTTGGTAATGTGAACACCAACAACTTCAATGAATCAACGGACTCGATGTATGTGCCACCAGTGGCAATGGGCTGCCACACACAACTGTTATAACAAAGAAAGTCAACTGTCAACTTTTTCCAGAAACTTTGCTCCTCAGTTTTTCTCTTCACCCAGATAAACAGATGACATCCAAGCCAATAACATCACGGCTTAGCTTAAATGACCAATTATCTGGTCAATAACCAAAGTTACATACCATCACCAGACAATACACAACTCACTTTGAATCCGATGATAATGACAACACAAGTTGTTGAAACGTCAGTCATTTTAGAAACAGTCTTATTCAGGATTACATTCACCTAGACAATCCAAACATTCTATCTACCTACTGAATATGAAACACTGGAGGTAACCCAGGACGAACTAGTATCCCATTCAAGACAGAAGAAAGAGCAACAAAATTTATTGTTAGCTTATCAACTTACCATCAATCTTCAAATTCATTCCTCCGAACACCAGTGGTCCTACAAACTGCCTCTTCATATCATCCTCAAAGTAGATAAATATAGTTGGTAGATGTTTATCTGGATAGTTTGGTATACATGTTGTTGATATGCTCTTTAAGAATTTTGTAGCTGGAAACTTCTGTGCAAGGCGGCTAAAATACTGATTTATTAATGCACACAATGGGATGCTGAATTGGAAGTTAAGGAGGAACCAATACAAATGTTGCACAAAACAAAAAAGCAACTCACAAATCTTTGCTGTATTATCTTAACAGAGGTAATCTTTGTTGGGAAATTAAACACCAGAATACGCTTTCTACCTGAGCCTTGGGATGTGGTAGATTTTTTTTCACCAGCAATATTTATGAGGAAGGGTGGCAGAGTAGTGAGAGCACTCGCCTTCTACAAATCCACCAATGTGACCCAGGTTTGAATCCTGGTGTCGAGGCCATATGTGGCTTGAGTTTGTTGTTGGTTCTCTCTCTGGCTCCAAGAGGATTTTCTCTAGATACTTCGGTTTTTCACTTTCTTTAAAAACCAACACTTCCAAATTACAATTCAATCTGGAGTACACAGACACATTTCAATGAGTTCTTAAGAACTCCTAAGTGCTCTGTGGATAAACAAATTACAGTTTAATTTAAATGACAATTTAAAAAAAATGTGATCTATGATTGAACACATGGATGGCAAAATGGCATCTAGTTATTTTAAAATTAACTCAACAAGGAAGAAAAAATAGTATTGCAGCCTGATCATCAGTCACCTAAGAAATCTTGTTGGCTACTTTGACATTTTCCAGCAAAATTTGAACCTGTACAGCTGGACAAAAAAAATCCCGTCCAGTCATCCAGCAGGACGAGTAGTTTTTCCTGCTGGGCAAGTAACTTTAAAAGCTCCCTTGCGCAATGGGCAAAGGTCCAGGTGAGTGATCCTCTGACTAACCATTACGACAACGGCGACAGCAACGAAAATGGAAAATAGCTGTAGGTTTATATCAGCAAAACAACAACATCACACTCTTTTGTACATTTCTTAGCCTTCACTGCACGACTACAATGTGAAAGTGCCAAATTTCAAATTTTGTCAAGGATGGCAACAAAAAGACAACAACTTTATTTTTCTTTTCCTGAACTTTGATACAGTCCTTTAGAATTCAACTACAAGAAAAACTGCCAACATTTGACGAGTTAAACAAGATGGAATAAGCGCGATAAAGTTTGAGACAGCACAAATTCACTTTTTAGTCTTTGTAAGTGACGTTTTTGTGGCCTTCGCTGTTGCTCTTGCTTAAGCTCCCTGTTAGCTAAGACAATTAAGTAGTTGTGCTGGGCAGGCAAAATGTGATGGTTGCTTGCCCAAAGAATGTGCTGGAATTTAATTTTTTTTCGAGCTCTGTTAACGAGTCATAATTTGAAGAAAAAAAAAACAATGAAACCATATAACCATGAACAAAAAAGAACAAGCCCAACGTTTATTCTAGTGTTTAAAGGGCTTGAAGGTGACTGAAGAACAGTAATGCAGGTTTTAACCTACAAACCAGCACAAATTGTTTCAACTTTCAAGATCATTTACATGTAAGAACAGTATGGATCATTCTGGGCCCAAAAAGGTGTCAGGTCTTTCAAGAAATGGGCTCCAGATATGCTCATCATTCATGCCAAAGGGCAAAAAGAAGAAGCCAAATGTTCCCTCTAACCCCTTAGAGAGACCAATTAACCATTTAATTTCTACTAATAACACACATGATTGGCTTTTCCAATAACAATATTTTAAAAAGATTTCTGGTGTTCACGTCTCTGAGTTCACTGTAAAAGGGCTCAATATTATTACAAAAGGATACCCAGATTTGTAGAGATGTAGAACTACCCATACTCCTTTACCAGCTTTGTTGACTTCATCTACATAGTCCTGAGCAGAAATTTCTCTTACATCACCAAACTTTGATGCCTGCTGCAATTTTTGTATTTCTGCTATCCTTTGCTGTCTTGAAAAAATGAGGATAGATACATCTTACAAGACAATTTGTTGAGGGGGGTTTTACAGTTTGTAATACTGTGACATTGCAGCACTTTTCACATGGTACATGTATTTCGGTGTTTTTCAAGGTGGTGGACAAAACACTGACCCCCAGTCCATGGACTACCCCTATGGACTACCAATATTAACTTACCCTATAATAGACTACGCTGCTGGAATTTAGTGATCAGGGGTAGCAAACTGAGTCAACCAGGTTCCATTGAGGGCAATTATACAGGGAAAACTGACCTGAAACTTGATTCACTCAGTTTCCTAACCCTAATCATTAATTTTCAGCAGCGTAGTCCATTTTTGGGTAGTCCATCGGGACAGTCCACGGGGGTAGTCCATGGACTGGGGGGTCAGTGCTTTGTCCAATATAAATAAAATTTTAAAATAGTTGTATTCTCAAACATGTAGGATGTGGCATTTTGCTCTTTGGGGATAACACTTTTGAAAAAGAAGAGTGTTATAATTTTGCGAATTTCGTTTGTTAATACTGGCGTGAGTACTTTCATTTAACAGTGAATTTTATAGTCGGTGGATAAAAACCTTTAAATTTTAAAAACTCTTGACAAGCCATTTTGCAAGTCAAATCTCAAAGGATTTGTTAACATTTCCTTATAAGGTAAAAATAGTTTCTATTCCTTGCTACATAGATTAAAGTGAAAAACATCATCATAACTCCACGTTACACACTGATCTCCTACCTATATTGTAAAAGAACGCGTTCATCTTCTTCATCTTCAAGTTCCTCTAGCTCATCTAAAGTCATGTCTTCATAAGCTTTGACTACATTCATTCCAGTTCTTTTCTGTACGGTTTCTTCGACCATGTTTATCAACTGATCTTCCGTAACTTCGCTTTCTTTTTGCGGCAAAATTCCATGCCGACGCAACGCATCGTTCCATTCTGTATCCTCACTAGGATTCTGCAT